AGAGTCTCTTAAGTCTCTGTAGATATAACAAACACAGAAATAAATAACACAAAATAAATTGTAGCTATGCGTCGATTCCACTCAACACGTCCGAACATGTAAGCTGAACAATAGTGTGGGGAAGTGAGTAATCGAGAGTTGCGTGGCACTCAAACAAAAGACGAATTGACAAGATTTGAAAATCGCGTAACTCCGGATTCGCGTAAGTTGGGGTAGCGTAAGTCGAGGTATTACTGTATATAATAAATTTGTAAAGTTGAAGAATTTTAGCATTGTTTTTTCTGGAAAATATGAAGTATATGATTCTTTATTCACTCAAAGTTGAAGTCAAGTCAAAGTTGAAATTTTTATTTCTGTATTTCAAAAGTAATTGTCATGTTTGATAAGATTTTGATTTTATGTTGTAAAATGTCTTTAATCATATAATCTTGATTATTTTTCCTTAGGCTTCTATAGAATTAATCTCCACAGAAATTAATAATTGTATTTATCTTACTGCCAATATATTTAATATTTTTTTGCTTTAATAAAATAAAATTAAAATGTAAACTTAAAATTTAAACATAAATATTTGTATGAAAACACATTCCTACATAAGATCAGAATTTTTTAAGTAAAATGTTAAGGTTTTTGAAAATATAGCAATGAGAAAATATTTATTCTGTACATGTATTTTTAGTGATGTATCTTTCAGAATTGTTTATATAATAAATTCATTGAAATCCATAGAGATTTCTATTTTTGTCTGTAATAGTCGTATAGAAGATGAACGTCATATTAGCATGAATATTTGCACAGTTGGCAAGATCATTTTCCTGAATATATATTGTAATATATGATAGTTAAATTTTATTTTTATAGTTTTGAAATTTAGGTATATAAAAATTTCTGATTAAATGAAAATAAAAATTATAGAAATTAAATTTTTATACAGATATGAAATAAATTTATAGAAAATTAATTACTGTTTATTAATTTTTATATGACTGGGAACAAACATTTTTGAATGATGCTGTAGATACCTCAGTACTAAAAAGTTCAATATGAAATTTAACTATAATATATTTATGGTATATTTAATAGTAAATGCAAATTATTTTGAAAAAAAAAAAAACACGTCGTCGTCATAAACTTCATGCTCATTGTCCATTGGTGTCTGATGCCTTTTTCACTATTTCCTTCCATTTCTCTCTATGCATTGCCAATGGATTGAAAACACAGTATATTTATATGCATGCCAGAGATCATAAGCATGTATCAGCATGCATTTGGAAATATAGATGTGTATGAATATTTCCAGCAGTATGACAATTGACTTTATGGACAGTGCACAAATCATTGGTAAGCTTGACCTTCATTGACAAGCTTCATTGGTAAGCTTGACCTCAAGTGTCAGTGCTCATAGTTATCATAAATGCAAATTTTATATCTACTAAGTATAAATGATAATGAAACTTGTCTGAGTCAAGGTTCTGTTCCAAAACCAAAATGGTAGAGATTGTGGTGTGTAGCAAATATTTACTACTAGTTTTTTGGTTCAAGATACTACAAAAAAGCAATACAATTACAATTTCTTAATGATAATTTATTTGGTCTAATTAGAAAGATAAAAACAGAAATAAATAACAAAAGAATGTCTGCATTTATATATGTTTGTTCCTAAATTATATTTTGAATTGTTTGAGAATGCTTTCAAATTTTATAAATGTAATGTACTCAGGGAAAATATTTAGTTGTTTTTAGAAATGTCTAGTGAATTTTTTTTTTTTTTTTGAGATTGATGCTTGCTGAATTAATAAAGATACCTAGGTGCTCATATCATTACAGGATGTAAAAACTTTAGATGTTATGTATAAAGTGTTTTACAAAACTAGTTTAAAGAGCTGTAGAATTAGCAATCAAGGAAACTTAAAACTCAGAAAAAAATGCATAAAAGTTATCCAGTTGCCTTCCCAGTCACATAAAGATTAACAATTTTCTTAAACTTAATGCAATTTTAAGTATACCTTTTACATTTAAAATTAGTAGTCTGCTAAAATATAATTGCTTATTGCTGCCAATATAATTATCTGTATCAAATTCAAATATTTTGATCATGTCTAAACAAACATGTGGTTAGTATAGTTTGTCTTCAAAGTATTATAATGATTACGTTCACTATTTATTAATAATTTTCCAGTTTAAGTAACAAGCCTTACAACTATACAAATAATCCAATTAGATACTATTGAATTTAGGTATTGATTGTTCATTACAACTATTAATATAAATATTGAAGGAACTAGTTGTTGGTGCTATTAAATTAGCACCAACAACTAGTTCCTAAATAAGATTTTGTTAATAAAATAAAATTGACTTCTTTGATGTTGCTAAAAATCATTTGTATATATATTGTTGTTGTTGTAATGTTATATTATTTATATGCTATAATAATTAAAAGTGTTAATATTTTTTATATTGATTACATAATTAGTGGTGAATTTTTGTTATAAATTGCTCTGTTACTATGATTACTATACATATCTAATGAGTTGAAATTTACTTAAAATTAAAATATTGTTTTGTACTAGTGATTAACCCATCATATATGATTTACTCCCAGTGCATATAGAAACTAAAATTTTTATAAGTTCCTATTGTTACATATGTTTTATTTGTAATAATTATTAAAGATTTTTTTAAAATTTTGTTATTTGTAAATAAAGTAATGTTTTTTAATGAAGATTATTTTAATTTTGTTGATAATTGAATATTCAATTCAGGTATTTACATTGTACTTGAATAATTCATATACAACTCATTCCCATTCATTAGCACCAGACATACTTGGATCAATAAAATGATTTTAAAAGAAATAATTCTTTTTAAAGTTTATTCATTGTAAATTATTTGTCCTTAGAGAATAAAATGAACTTTTGGAATGTTTTCTAATTAGGAAATACAAAATATTTATTGAGGGAAGTTTTTACTAATTTCATTTATTGACATAGTTCATATTGACCAATCTTTTCAAGTAAATATTTAAGTTTCTTCAAAATTAATAATGGTATTTATATTAATATTGTTGTTTTATGTATTATTATTTGCAAGTTAATAACTTATAATGTTGAATTTATTTATTGTCATAGTTCATATTGACCAATCTTTTCAAGTAAATATTTAAGTTTCTTCAAAATTAATACCTATTAAATATTAATATTGTTGTTTTATAAAAGATTATATCAATCTTCTTTTCTAATTATGCTCTTAATTGACTTGATAGTGATTAACTGTAATTTTTTTTACCAGTTTTCTTGCAGTTTGATATAGCTTTGTCATTAAGACGTGAATTTTTAAAAAATAAATTGAATAATAATTAATTTATATGCTAATTTAAAAATTAAGAAAAATTCGGCAAATTCACTAAATCTTGCATTACTTTTCTGCTTGTTATTAGATATAAAATAGAGAAAAATCCAGCAACCAGTTGCTTAACTTTTCCGGAAACATTTAGTAGCGCCATCTGTTATATTTTATAAAAACACTTTCTTATAATTTTAAATATTATAAAATGACAAAAAGCTTACTTTTGAGGGTAGGGATGGGTTTTATAACAAATTGTAAATGCTAATAACTCGTTATTAGCATTTACAATTTGTTACAAATACGTGAGCCGTTCACAGCCCGGCACACGTATTTGTAAAATCTAAGTGACTCGTACAACATGGAATTCATATAAAACGGAATTATCAACAGTGTTATAAGGGGGTCAACTGTAAATGATCCATAATTTAATAAAACTAGAATGATGAAGTTAGATCTCATCAACTTTTTCAAAATCTGAATACGTATCCAATAATGGACAAATATTCAGTGGTTGGTACCTTCTACTTCCAACGATTTTAATTTCGAACGTTCCAGAATTACAGGTGAATAGTTCCGCTTAGGACTCGAAACTACTAGAAACAGTTCCACATCGGCAGTTCCAGTTCCAGAACTACCAACGCATGTTTTATTTTGAACTCTTATGAATACGGCTTTTAACGGAACAAGAAATTAGTTTTGTGGTATTTTAAATTTATAAATATATTTTAAAAATTTATACTTTTATTATACTTCTTAATTATTCGTTTTTATTAGTAAACTAGCAGATATTTGAGGCAGTGTTCGGCCAAAATAATAGTAGGATAAACGGTTAAAATAAAACTATATATTGTATATATAAAACCGATGAGAAACCGTCGAGTCCAACAGCAATTCTGACATAACATAATGATTTTGTCTAGTCCAAAAGTCTAAACAATTCCGAGAAACCGTTCAGTCTGAATAGTTTCCTACTTGGATCAATTCCAACAGTTCCAGTTCCAGAGGCGGAACTAGATTTTTCCAATCTCTAATCCAGAGTGCGTATATTATACTAATATAAACTAGTATGATTTAAATAAGTTCAATATTGTGTTATTTAAGAATTTAAATTTCTGTCAAAGAAAAAAATAATAATAATTAAAATTAAAATGACGGACATAATGACGAGCAGACATTTTGCAAAACGTACCTTTTTTTAACTGAAAGAGTAATAATTTTTAAATGAAATGAAAAATAACAATAAAAATCGATATCTCGGGAACGAATGGACGAAACTTGATAAAATTNATGTATATGTATATATATTTATATTTTTACAAGAATAGCTATTTGTATAGCATTATTATTTTATATTGTGAAAACTGAAAAATAAAAAAATATTCTACATCTTTTATTAAACTACTTAATATAAATACATTTATTACTACTCTTAAAGAATATGTTTTATTAATTAATTTCTAATTTTATCAAATCAAATCTTTAAACAAAAATCCAATAATTTCAAATTGCATAAAAGAATTAAAGAATTTTAAAAATTTTTATTTTATATACAGTATATATTTTTATTATTAAATTGTTTTAGAATTCAGAAATATAGAATATGAAATTATTTTTGACTCTCAGATTACATATTAATTTATTTTTAATTTTTACAGCCATGATGTACCCTGAATTTCAATATCGTCCTCCTCCCCCGTCCTATCAGGCATCTATGCAGGAGTATCGTCTCCGTCTTCTCCTTCTTGATCGACAACAGGGAACAACAACAACATCACTATCACCAGTGTCACCACCACCCACATATAGATCACATGGGAGCACGCTCCATTCCAGGTAACAATTTTGTTTGCTATAAAGAAATACTATAATACAAATGCAAATGTAATATTATAACATTTTATGTATTAAGTGATATTGCACCATAGTTGAATAGAATTTTGAAGTTTCCTATCCATTTTTAAATTATTTACCAAATTATTGGGTTGCAATTTGAAAAATTGTAGATCTATAAATTCCCACTGTTGTTCATCCTTCTGCCTGTCTTTCCTTAATCTCAAAAATAAAGTTAAATAGATGAAAGGTGAGACCAGATATGGAAATCTTAGCGGCAGGAGATCTTCCAATGCAAACTGGAAGTCATGTTATTTCAATTCAAAAATTTTCCCATGAAAAGTATTAGATGACCGACAACTCTATTGTTAAAGGAAAAGTATGATATATAGGGGCAAGACACTACAGTACTAATTTGAGGTGAAGAGCATATATTTTAANTTTCCTCTTGTTTTAAATAAATAAGTTTATAAGATGATGTGCTTATATATATATAAAGATCATACTCAGCTCTTTAAAATACTTAATAAATCATCAAACACCTGATGCTGAGAAATGTTTATTAAACAAACATTAATATTTTCAACCCAATTTGATAGGCCATCTTCAGATGCAATTATTTTAATGTTAAGTATAAAAATGCTTTTATTTTTATTTTGTATTCCAAAATAATTTAAAATATTCTGTTTAACATTTATAATAGAATGGAATTCATTTTCTTGAAAAATATGTTTATAATAATGAAAAAAAAATATATATATATATATGTATATATATGTATTGAACAATATTACTACAAAACTACAAAAACTATGATGTATTCTTATTTAGATATTTAACATTTTAACAATATATACTATTCAGTTTCTCTTAATAATTATGCACATATTGTATAGGATAATGATATGTATATAAACTGTGGTTGAAAATATATATTTTGAAATGATCTGCAAACAAAATAAGCTTTCCTAATTGATATGGTTATAATCATATGCTTATGTGTTAATCTAAATTTATATATTTCTGGTAAAGATCTGACATGGTGTCTGAACAGAATAACTGATAATACACTTATTTAATATATATTAGAGTTATGGATTTATATCTCACACTGAGTCATTTTTCTAGATATTTATATAATTAATTAATTAATTAATTAAATTATCTAGTTATTCATTGATAGATGTGAACATATCTATTTATAATTCCAAATTTATTTTACCATTAATAAATTTATTACTTTAATTTTGTTTAAATTATTGTGTAATGTAATAAATACAAAAGCACTATATTTAGATTATTTGTATTTGTAATGTGATTTAATGTAGTTCCAAATATTGTTTTATGCAGATAAATATCTGTGCTTTATAGTTCTTTGTGTATGTTGTATAGTTCTTATGAGGAATATAACAAATAATAAATAGAGCTACAATTACTAACAAGTAATGTAGTTTACTTCAAAAATTTTGAAAATGTGTACAGTACATATTACATTAAAGTTTTTACATCAAAATTTATTTTAAGAGTAAATAAAATATAAAATTTATTACAAATGACTATTAAAATTTCAAATTTATCTTTAAGGTTTTCGAAATATCTGCAAAATTTCAAATTGATTTAATTTCTGTTTTCCAATCGTTTTAGGTAACATTTCAACTTTAATATTTTAAAGAAAGTGACATTATTAGTATGATCACAAATTATATTTCTGAATAGTTATGACTCATTGAGTGAAAAACAGTGATTTAGAATTTGTAACCACAAAAGAAAAAATAAACCTGTTTTAGACTTGATTGTCAACAAAAACTTTTTGACAGTGCCTTTAAAGAAAAAAAATATGTTGTTGAATTCTTTAATTGAACCAATTGTTGATTTCTCACTGGTTTTTTTTTAATGAATTGATATAATTTAAATCTTTTAATTACAGAGATGACACATTTTTAAATTATCTTTTACTAAAATAAATTAGTATTTTTATGGGAGTACATTTAAATTATATTTAGACATCCATGTAATTTTCCTCTTGTTTTAAAAATATATATTTTTAATGAGAATATCAAGAGAAACGTATCTAAAATAAATTAGTATTTTAATGTTTTAGATAATATCCAACCCACTTTATCTTTTGTATCAGGTTAATTAAAATATCCTCTGTTTTATGTAAAGAAAAGAAAAATCCATTAACTTGCGTGTCGAAAAATATCTGATAAAAATCGGTATTGGATGCCATCTTGGAAATATTTTCTTTTCTTTCTTCTTGGTTCGTTAAAACGGCAAATAGTGTAATTATTCTCAGTTATTGCTTAATAAATCTTCCTTAATAGAAAATTAATTATTTTATTCAGTACTANTTAGTTAAAAAGTCACCATCAGGGGAACAACGGTGCTTGATGAACACCCCCCCTTGTTATGCAAACTCATATGATTTTACTGTGAAAGCACTGTTTTTTGCTACATCTGACATTTGTCATAACTGATAGATATGATTCACCGGCATATAACATTCTGGCTGATATGCTTTGAGCTACTGTGGAGAACACAATATTGCACTTTAACCTGGTTGCAGGAAATGGTGGACAGCACATTGAACATGTACTGCCATGACTGTTATTTGTAAAATGTATGTTGTCAATACAAGGAATAAACCTTGATTTTTTTCCCCCCTGGTGGTGATTTCAAACTAATAATTTTTTTTGCAGATTATGAAATCCTGTGTCCTCTTTTATAATATTTCCAGATTAGGAAACATTTGGTCCAGTAGTTTTCATTTTATAGGGAGTTCAAAATAAAACTTAAATTATGATTACCCTGTATTTTAAAACTAATATGTTATCATATTGTCATACTTATAAAATAGATCAAAACTGCATAATATATAGTTTTAAAAAATATAAATATTAGTATAGAAAACCATTTTAAAACTTAAATTACATCAATGTTATAGTGCATACATACATCTAATCTTTTAATATTCAGTTTTCTTTTGATATATTAACAACAATTTTTATTTATTGAAAAATTTATAATGAATGTAAGAGAATGCCATATAACTAATTTTATTATATTTTTTCTCTTTTATATACTGAATTTTATAATTGTATTTTTCCACATACATTGATACATTAGTGACCCACTAACAGATACATTTTTTTCACAAACATTATTAAACTAAAGCTTCAAAGTTAACTCAACTTTACTATATTTTCTGATTCAGTTTTCCTGTAAATCATGTTCTCATTTCTTCATGTAGACATTTCAATATCTGTTCTGTTTTTCAAAATCTTACTTGGCTGTGAAATTTTAAACTGTGCAGTAGTGTTTTGTTGACTCATTTTTGAATTATCATAGCATTCTAAAATTTCAAGTTTACTTTTGAGAGATAAATCTTTGCATTTCTTATTTGCTTCTTTAATTATGCTAAGAGGTATGGTGCAGTGTTGCACTTTAATTAAATAGTAATGAAGATCACAGTCTTGACAACAGCGAACAGCTTGCTCATAAATTACAAGTCTCGGAAATCAAAATTTAAAATGTAGTACTATATGTAGTATTGAGTGCAATATTAAAACAAATACTTAACATATTATGAGTAAACATCTTTTTACAATTGAATATTTAATTTAAATTGATTTTAACCATTGTTCTAATGTTTTTATTGGTATGACATAGGTTATAACTATTATTATCTGTTTTGTCAGTTAGCTGTTATTAACTGTTTAAGTAAATTCAAACTTATCATTAATAACATAATAATTATAAGTAAATTTCTTATTACAGTAAGCAAAACTTTTCTAATATTTTTCAATTTTGTTTTAGGCCCCCACTTAATATGATGGAAAGAGACTACAGTAGACCTCCTAGTTATCGTTCAAGAGCTAGTTCAGCAGGAGTGCTCCGAACCAATACGGATACTCTTGATTCGAGGGTCAATGAACGTGAGGGAACTATTAGCCAGAATGGAACTCCAGCTAGTCCTAGTCACAGCCAGTCACATAGTCGCAATCCTTCTTTGAGTCTCAGTTTTTTGTCTCACGAATCTCTTTTTGTTGACTCTAATCACTCGCGGCCGACCGATTCTGCTAATGCAGCTACTAGTGACAATACCAATCCAGTGCACTTTACTAGCCCTAGTGGTGAAAGCCAGAACTCTGTGGTGGCAGGACTCAGTGATGAAAGCCCTCTAGCAACTCATGAAATAACTTCTACGGACATTGTACCTGTGAACTGGAGGGCAGAGGATCAGAGTTTGTGGAGTCTACGTAAGAATCATGATATTAATGCTGTAACTATAGTTCAGACTACGGACTCTTCACAAGTGCTGAATCAAGATACAGTGGTTGTATCCATATCTGGACAAACAATGAGGTCTTCTGCGACAACACCTGGAAGTGGTAGTCAGGGAGAGGTACAGATCCTGGCTCATGTCTGACACCAAATTTGTTCCACATACATGGTTCATGTTCCTGTGTTACAATATAATTGCACTAAAAATACTCAGCTGGGATTTGTAACATCAGTGTCTACTCTGTTCAAAAGTGGAACATCTAATCACTAGAAAGCTTATTTCTTCAGAGAATGCATTTAAAAAAAAGCCGAAAGGGGCAACTGTAAACAGTACACTGGCAATATATAAATATATATACAATATATATTTCAACTTCCCACTGGGATCTATGCACTTTTTGTCCATTATTTCATGTAATATATAAGAACTTGTACTTTTGTGAATCATCGTGGTTAAATACTATAAAAATGATGGATTTATGAACAATGAACGAACAAAGGTGCTAGCACTGATTTACTTTTATACCATGTGAAGGTATGTAATTTAAACTGTTATACAGTTAATAGTAATGTATCATATATTCAATATTTCAAGCAAATATAGACAAGTGCTCAGCCAACAAAATCTAAAAATATAATTTTAAGCTCAAAGAAAACTTACTTTTATGATGACAATAATTTACTAGTTTATTTTCCTGCACAAACTTGTCTATTCTATCAAACTGCATTTATGCAGTAAACACAAACTTATAAATAAATATATATCTATATATATATATGTACACTTGTATATGTAGAAAGTTAAAAGCCAAGCCAATCAGTTGTTACATAAGTCTATTTTGCCAGAGTGGCTGAGTTATTGTCTGATGTATTGGAGCAGGTACTGTGATGCCATATCATCATACCAAATGTATTTATTCATTATGTCCACAAACTTCTGCAAATCACGATCATGGTAGAAGAATAGAATGTACATCTTTGCATTATATTTCTTGTCTCTTAACTGTATAGTCTCCGATTTTTCTTATGTCGCTCGTACATCAGAATGTACAATAGAAAATTTTCGATATTTAAAGTTATAGTTTAATGGAATGTATTTTTTACTGTATCATACACTGTAGAATAGTCAAATACTGTGTGATGTGATGTGGCCTATGTGTTGTATCACCATCTGCCAGTCAAGTCAAGATAAAATAAATACCAAATAATTTGTTTCTATTTGTCAAATTTTGTTTTTTACATATATAATATTGATTAGTCTAAATATTATAAATGTAGAAGACTACTAATATAATTTTTAATCTCTACATAAATTAATTCAGTCCATACAACTGAATAACTTCAAATTTCTAGAACATAAAACTATTATTTTAAAATAATAAAATATAAATTCCTACAAAACATCAATTCTGTATGAAAAATTTCTAAACATTTTACATGTGTAAAATAGACACCATTGAAGAGTTTATCTTAGAAAATATTTTTATTAAAAAGATAAAATTCATATTTTCTGGATATCTTGCGCTGAAATAGAAAATTTAAGTTGAAGGTGTTAAGAATTTTGAATCATTTACAAAATGAAAATAGCAACAATATAAACTGACAAAATTAAATTTTAGAATAATGCAAGATAAAATAATTAATTTAGTAAAATTTTTATGTAGATTTTTTGTTAAATTACTTTTGTTTTCTTTGGAAATTAACATTAACCATTACACACACAATTTGTTTTCAGATCTCTATTTAATAAATTATAGAAATTGTTTACAGATAAGCTATAAAACAATGAATGTTTATGTGTATTAAGCAAACTTATAAATCTAAAAACTTAGTTATGTAATTTAATTTAATCATTAATAAGACATTTTAGTTATTTTATTGATTGGTTTCGGACCTATAAATAACTTAAAAATTATAGCGTAAAATATTTTCGGTACGTTATTATTCATAATTTTCACTGTATTCTTGGAAACAGTTTATTATTTCATCTCCAATGAAAATAATGAATATCCTCCTTTCTCGTATTTTAAATACAGTTGGGAAAGAATAAACAAATTCTTTCCCAATATCTATTATTATTGTATATCAATCTTAAAAAATAATGCAGCGAATTAAAAATAAATAAGCTAAGAAATAATCTCAAAGGTTAGTGTTTCCATTCATCAATAATAATCGAGAATTTCCAATGTTATTTTGTATAAACTTTCGAATCTTGGTAAACAACTTTTATATTAAAACAATTATTAATGTACTATTTTCTGTTCTTAATGTTAACAAATATAGGCTGCATATATCTTGAAATGATATGTGGTTTTGGAATTTCATCTCGTGCAGCACATGCCACTTTCTATAATGAGAAGAAAATCAAATGTCCGTGTCCCTCTGGTTACGTGATGGAGAAAACCCACGCATAGGAGTTAAAAGAAGTGAATTCGTGAGTTTATTATAAGTGAAACTGCATTCATCGATTCACTAACATTTTACAATTTACTTACAATGAGATTACTTTGAGTTAAATATAAATTAATACATTATTATTATACACAGTACTCATTAGCTGCAACTAACATTTCGAAGAACGCTATTCTATAAAATTGGGAAAAATACTTGTTATAATGCTAACTAATACTGTGTTAAATTTTGAATTCACCTAAGCATAGCCAGATTAACTATTAATCAGAATAAGTACGTGTTTAGGGCATTAAGGAAACGGGCACCACAGAAATTTCTCATTGCTTGATTTCCCATGGATCAGTGGCGGATCAGGTACAGTACTTGGCATACCCCAAAGCACATCCTGATTTTGAGGTCTCCTTGATCTAAATACTAAGTAATGCTATCAAATCAATTTATAACTTAATAATAAAAGTCCAATGACGAATTGTATAACTTTCCCGGAAAAAAAGTTAAAACTGTGTAACGCTATCTGTTACGTTTGTTTGATTATGGCAACGAAACACTTGGGCGATGCCTTCCGGGAGGTGTTTTTAAGGGAAACTGGCTCCTACTGTCAGGCATTACAGACGTGGAGAAAATCCGGAAAACTCTACGTACTGTACGACCGAACTCCCAGTGTTCAGGGTATGAAGACCGCTTGGCCACTGGTGGGCATCTACTACGACAGTGTTTTTCAACCTTCTTGAATAAGCGACTCCTTTACAAGTTAAAAAATTCTGTCGACCCCCTAGGGCCATATTAAAACTATGTCAGTGATTTTAAAAACTACGTATTTAATTAAGTTTCTGTTGAGACTTAAAATATCGATCAAAAAGCCAATTGTACTGTAAAATAAACAGACACAGCCTTCTCACTAAGATTGTAGGTTTTTTTTATTGTAGTATAGGACCTACAAACACTTGTCTTTTTCTTTTACCCGCGACCCCCCGTGTAAGGCTTTGTGACCTCCTTGGAGGTCACGATCCACAGGTTAAAAAACACTGTTACGAGATTTTGTTTAAAAAAAATTTTTGTTATTTATTATTATAAAATGGCAAAAACTTAATGTTAAGGGTAGAGATGAGTTTTAGGGGGGAAAAGTTGTAAATGCTAATAACGAGTAAATTTTTCATTTAAGTCCGATCCCACTCAAGATAAGTTATGACACACGACTCACCCACTATCATCCCACGCCCTCGACCTTAACCATCAAAATTTAATAGCATCAATGCTCCTAATACATACCTCCCTGCAAAATTTCAGAAATTTTCGACAAAAGTTACAGGAGTTAATTAATAAGCTTCAAATTGGGTGAACAAAATTATGCAACTCATCAACACACACATTCACTGACATCCGTACATACAGAGAAAAAAAATCCCATACATTTTCGCATTTCTGGACGTTTTAAGGTCCCCAGTCCAAAAATGTAAATATCTAGGGGATCATTTTTTTTTTATTGATCGCCGTACACTTATTCACATAAATGGAAAGTATTGAAATCGCGACAAATCTGACCCTCCGAATTTCTTTCAAATTAATGTTTTGAGACTCCCGAACCCCAAAAAACTGAAAAAATTTTCGTGCGCGTGTGTGTATTTCGTTTGATATTTCAGGATGGGGTTAAGATTAGGAAACGAAATTAGGCACAGTATCTTATATATAAGTGATAACGATGTTATTAAATTTTGTTTGTTAAAGATGGAGGGGGTAAGAAGATAGCGAGATGCAATGCGTCATATCTCGAGAGGTCGAACTTAAGACTTTACTCATTATTAGCATTTATAATAATTTATAAAACGCAACTTTACCCTGAAAATTACGCTTTTTGCCATTTTGTAATAATTAATAATATAAAAAGATTTTTGTAACAAAATATCACAACAGATGGTGCCACATATAATTTTATTTATTATGATTAATGATATAATTTTTTTATTTAAATAAAATATAATAGCCTGGTAATTTACGTAACTCCTTGCTAGATTTATTTTGTAATTAATTTTTATGATCATGAGTGCCCAAGCTTTAATTTTTGGTCGCATAACACCAAGATATTGTGAAACTGAAAAAATTATTATTTTTCCTTTACTTTTTCAGTGCATTTATATGAATAAAAAGCATTTCTTTAATTAAGTTTTAAAAAATATCTTTTATTACCGTATTTTCGCGGAATGACCGGCGTGCCGCATATAAATGAGGAAGACCAGCATACCGGTTAAGCTGCGACTAAAATATAAAATTAATCTGATCTAACAAAACTAGTCGTTAATAAAACGTTAAAGAAAACATTCTTCCGAGTAGGCCTACAATAAAATAGAGGAGAAGGTGGTATTATGGAACACTGCGGGTATTACGGAACCACCCCATTTCGAACTGATAATAAAGGCGAACTGTAGCGGAATGTGGCTGAACTGAACTAGGCAGACATCCATAGCAAGGAGAAAACCCGTTTTACTTCAGTTAAACAGTTGTCCGTATTTAATCAGCAAATTTTTTTTTTTCAAAATTCGCAAGTTTTGAATGCTAAGTGAATTTAATTATTTTTAAAATATAAATCGTGTAGTTGTAGGTTCACTGGTGCATGTATTCCGTTCCAGAGACTTAGGGGTACATATTAATCTGTGTGATTTTCACGTTTTTAAAGTTTGGTGCCGACAGGAATTAAGTTAACCCAAGATGGAGATGCGTGAAATATGGACCCCATTGGTGCTTTTAATATGGAACCCAACTCCCCTGGTGTTCAGTATTACCAACAAATTCAAACCATAAAATAATGTTTTTACGTTTTATTTTATTTATGAAAACATTTTTTTAATTTAAATACTATCTTAACAAGAAATAAAATGTAAGATAACAATCGAAATAAAAATTTTTTTTTCATGAAAAAAAATATCGTCTGCTTACAAAATAGCGAAACTGAGCATGCGCGAAGTGACAGTATCGTCTGGTAAAGTAAATAGTCTACAAGTAAGTTCAAACTTTTATGTTTATTTATTTGAAAAATAACAATAAATGTAGCAGTTGTGATAAATGGGCACACTGTTCTTGTGCCAATATTGAAGTGATGATGACTCTCCTTTTGACTTGCCTGGTTTTAAAGATGACACTGCTTGTCTGTTTGCAGATGATAGTCATGGGGAGGTGTGGGTGCAATGCCTAATGTGCGCTATGTGGGGCACATAAAGATTGTGCTGATGTTGAAACGGAGCATTATATTTGTGATTTTTGTAAATGATTAGCTTCTTTGTACATTTCTTTATTATTGTTATTATTAAATCATTTTTGCGTTAAAATACATTGGAGTAAATGATTTTGTAATTATTTAACATTCTTTGTATTTTCCTATTTGTTTTTGGCTACATTAAAGCATTTTTTGAAAATATACAGTAAGGTTCCATATTACCACCCGATTTTCTCTAAGCCTACTTTCTGACTTTTTGTATAAAAGCCTTCAAAAACCATACTTATAGTTACACTAATGAAAAATCCAATTAGGAACATTTAGTTTAATAGTTACCAGTACTTTTTGCACAAAAAATGTGGATGTAGTTATGATACCTTGTTTACAATTCACTAAAGTGTAATTGGGGTTCCATAATACCACCTTCTCCTCTACTAACATTGCAATTTGACTGATTCAGGAAAATCAGAAAGTTTTCGTTTACAACACAATAAAACAATTAACGACTTTTTAAAAACTTTTCGCTCTGTGGGCACTAAGAAGGCCTCATTTAGCAAGCTTATTATGGGTTCGGCCAGGCCCATAATGGGGCGGCCGGGTGATGAGG